CGACCGCCGGGGCCGACGCCTGCACCGCGTGTGTCCCTCTGTGCCACGCTCTGCGGGCTCCTTCTCCCGGGAAAGGGCAAAGGGTGCTTAGCACCCAGCATGAAAGGCAATAAAACCACTACAGGCCCCGCTCCCTTCTGCGGCGCTGAGCACCAACGGTGCGGATGTTGCAGCACGGCGCTGGGCCAACGCTTCCCCCAGCGCTCCCGAGGGGGCAGATTGCACCAGTTCCCCTCTGCAACCCCCCATACCGGCTCCCCCGCTCAGCCTCTGCTGCCAAGGAGGGGCTGGCTCCCACCGGCAGCCCTCGGCCTCGGCCGCTTCCCCCCCAGTTTGGTTTTCTGCTGGCCAGGCTTTGTATTTTTGTAGCTGCAGTAGCCGAGTGGGCCCGGGGCAGCTGCCCCCCACTCTCTGTACAGCTTGAGACCACATTAAACACCCCACGAAGCCGAGTCCTCCTCACGCTTCAAGTGCGTCCTCCTGCTGTGTGCATGCAGGGGCTCCAAGTAGCTCAGAGCTGGTTCCTGCTCCCCAGGTCCATGGGTTTCCCAAGGTCCGTGGGCTGGTGTGGTGCTGCCGAGGTGGGAAGGGCAGGGGAGACCCTGCAGAGCCGAGCAAGGCTCCACAACGGCTGGCAGCTCCCAAGAGCCAGGGAGCTGTGGGCAGCCACAGCCCCATCAGCTGTGAGCAGGGCAGGCTGGGGGTGGCCAGGCTCACCAGGAGCCTGGATCATCCAGCAGGTCCATGGTGGCGAGGTCTGAGGTTGGGCTGGGCAGCCGGTGAGTCAGGGTCTGGAGCAGCGAGTCAGGGTCTGGACTGGTGAATCAGGGTCCAGGACAGGGCTGCAGCTGGGAAACAGAAGAGGGCTCAGGGCTGAGCTTAAATAGAGCCCCTGCCCCACAGCTGTGGGCTCAGGTGAGGCTGATCAGGGCCCTCCAGGGCTGGTCCTGGCACTGCTGTCCCTGCAGCCTGGCCCCAGGGACCCATAAGAGAGGTGGAGGGAGCTGCCCTGCTCCCAGCCAGGCCATGGTCCCATCCCAGGACACATGTGCCATCCTGGGAAACATGTCCTCGTCCCAGGACACATGTCCCATGTCAGGACACACAGTTCATTCTGGGCCACGTGCCATCCCAGGGGACACGGCCCCATCCCAGGACCCACATCTCACCCCAGGACACATGGCCCACACACTTCACATCACATCACATCACATCCCAGGACACACCGTCCATCCCGGGACATGTGGCCCCATGGGGGACCCCGGGAAACATTTCCCATCCCAGGACACACGTTCCCGTGCCGGGTCACACGGGTCCAGGCGGTGCCGAGCGCAGCCGGGGC